CACGACACAATCACAGGGACAACACGTGCACTTGTGAGGAACAGCTACAGAAGACTTTCTATGGGGTTATTAGGGTTGCTTTGCAAAGCAGCCAACTCAGGGACAATGGGAGTGAGAGGCATTTATCAGGGGGAGTGGAACGGGGGCAAAGGTGACAGTTTGTTTGTTTGGGTTGTTGAGGAAACAGACCTTCCTGTTTTGGAGATCACCACACAAAAGGCAAAGAGTTACAGAGGTTGTCTGGGGTTGGATAAGAGGTGGATAGCATGGAAATAAACAGAGGTCCAGCCAACTGTACACTGTATACTGAGTGTAGTGTATTGTATACTAGTCTCACCAAAATGTCAAAATTAATGTCAGCTCAGTGACTTTTGAGGTAAGCTATTCATTTACTTATCTCAGAAAGTAAGTGGAGCGCAATATCTTAGAACAGTCTTCAATCACTGCATTATCTCCTCTTGTCAGTTTAGGCTAATTGAATACAGGAAGGATGAAAGTGATGTTAGCTACTGCAGTTTGAAGTCTGGCTTATAAAGTAGGCCCTTTAGAGACTTCCAGCACCATGGACAGAGTTTAGCCCCAGTAGAGGCATAGCCAGATGCAAGATTCTGCTGCCAGCTGATTTAAAAGCCATGATGCAGGTTCTCATAGGAAATCACTTCACAAGGTCACAGTATAGCTGTTAATTGTTACTAATGAATAGAATATACAAGTGGTTTAACAGAAACTATACCCAGAGAGTGGCATGCTGTTTTCATATAAATATTGTTGGGTACTTTTGCTTACAGATCGTATTGGGGTATGACAAAGGTGCACCTTGGTAACCGCCAAACGGGGAGAAAAACATTAATCACCTCATTATCAACCCTCCACTACTTCATATCACTTCCTCTCATTGACCAACAACTCGCCTGCTACTTCCTGTCATTTCTCCCTCCTCAACTTTGGATGAAAAGGAATGGGAGAAAGCATCCTTTTTTACAGTGTAGAACCAAGATGACCACTACATAGCAAACCAGAAGGTTTACCCAGCCGATGAGTAACACTAGGAATCAAATATCCAGGGTACATTTAAACACTTCCTGCGTCACTTTCAGAATGATGGGAATTACAATTATCTGAGTTTTGCAACCCTTGTTGCAGTAGAGCAGGTTTGAGCATAGCAGGTTACTTTAAATGGAGCAGGGTTTTGGCAGAGGATAGGTTTCAGTTGCAGAACTGTAGGTGGATCCACAATTATCTGACTAATGTACAGTGTAAGAGAACATAATGGGACATGGTGTGACCTTGTTGCCCTCTGGTCTATTATTGTTGTGGTGACACATGAGGAAATGGCGCCCGGCCGCCCGTCCCTGCTCTTGATTGAAGGATGACTATGCTGGGGCCTGTCTAGAAAGCCTGGCCGCAGGGGTACTCTACAGTAGATGTATGACAACAAGTATGACAGGACTGGGGCTGATTGCATCACACTGCCGAAGGGAAGATTATTAGATTATTTGAAAGTCATCTCATTAAAAACCCCAGTAGGACGATTCCCAGTGTTACTCATTGTCTCAGCAATAGGCCTATGTCCTACATGTCAGCGAGGGGTCATGATAACTAAGGATGGGTGGTGCAGGACACTACCACAATGACACATTTGGTCATAGGAAATGTGCCAAGAAATCCATATGACAACACAAACTGGCCTGCTTTTGAAGGGCAAATCTATTTTTTTATTCATTTGAGCTTTTGGATTCCTTGGCCATTTACAGTTGAAGTCGGAAGTTTACATACACTTAGGTTGGAGTCATTAAAACTTGTTTTTCAACCACTCCACAAATTTCTTGTTAACAAACTATAGTTTTGGCAAGTCGGTTAGGACATCTACTTTGTGCATGACACAAGTAATTTTTCCAACAATTGTTTAAAGACAGATTATTTCACTTATAATTCACTGTATCACAATTCCAGTGGGTCAGAAGTTTACATACACTAAGTTGACTGTGCCTTTAAACAGCTTGGAAAATTCCAGAAAATGATGTCATGGCTTTAGAAGCTTCTGATAGGCTAATTGACATAATTTGAGTCAATTGGAGGTGTACCTGTGGATGTATTTCAAGGCCTACCTTCAAACTCAGTGCCTCTTTGCTTGACATCATGGGAAAATCAAAAGAAATCAGCCAAGACCTCAGAAAAAAAACATTGTAGACCTCCACAAGTCTGGTTCATCCTTGGGAGCAATTTCAAAATGCCTGAAGGTACCACGTTCATCTGTACAAACAATAGTATGCAAGTATAAACACCATGGGACCACGCAGCCGTCATACCGCTCAGGAAGGAGACGCGTTCTGTCTCCTAGAGATGAACGTACTTTGGTGCGAAAAGTGCAAATAAATCCCAGAACAACAGCAAAGGACCTTGTGAAGATGCTGGAGGAAACAGGTACAAAAGTATCCATATCCACAGTAAAACGAGTCCTATATCGACATAACCTGAAAGGCCGCTGAGCAAGGAAGAAGCCACAGCTCCAAAACCGCCATAAAAAAGCCAGACTACGGTTTGCAACTGCACATGGGGACAAAGATCGTACTTTTTGACCATCGTTATGTTTGGAGGAAAAAAATGGCGGCTTGCAAGCCGAAGAACACCATCCCAACCGTGAAGCACAGGTGTGGCAGCATCATGCTGTGGGGGTGCTTTTCTGCAGGAGGGACTGGTTCACTTCACAAAATAGATGGCATCACGAGGAAGGAAAATTATGTGGATATATTGAAGCAACATCTCAAGACATCAGTCAAGAAGTTAAAGCTTGGTCGCAAATGGGTCTTCCAAATGGACAATGCACCCCAAGCATACTTCCGAAGTTGTGGAAAAATGGCTTAAGACAACAATGTCAAGGTATTGGAGTGGCCATCACAAAGCCCTGACCTCAATCATATAGAAAATGTGTTGATAGAACTGAAAAAGCGTGTGCGAGCAAGGAGGCCTACAAACCTGACTCAGTTACACCAGCTCTGTCAGGAGGAATGGCCCAAAATTCACCCAACTTATTGTGGGAAGCTTGTGGAAGGCTACCCGAAACATTTGACCCAAGTTAAACCCTTTAAAGGCAATGTTACCAAATACTAATTGAGTGTATGTAAACTTCTGACCCACTGGGAATGTGATGAAATAAATAAAAGCTGAAATAAATCATTCTCTCTACCATTATTCTGACATTTTACATTCAAAAAAAATAAGTGGTGATCCTAACTGACCTAAGACAGGACATTTTTACTATAATTAAATGTCAGGAATTGTGAAAAACTGAGTTTAAATGTATTTGGCTAAGGTGTATGTAAACATCCGACTTCAACTGTATCTACCTTGGGCCTCTGTTTGAACTCAGAGCAGTGTTTGCATTGGCTTAAGAGACTGGGAGAAGGTGAAACTACTGTACACAAACAGTACAATCATGTTCTATTTCTCAATGATTTGCTCCACGTGCCATACATCAGCACGTGAGAGTATTTTTTCAAAACAGTTATTGTTATTAATTTGATAACATTGTATACACAACGTACCATTAGTTTTCCAGTAAAGTGAATGGAGAATCCTAATGTATAGATCTGCTGGAGAGCTGAAATTAACCATATTTACGTAACAATGCAATATTATAGCATGTTCCTCCTCACTACAGACGTGTTATATCATCAATAAGCTAATTTCAATAGTATCCTTTCAACGTTTCACATTCTGGTGAGACGCTCCCTTCAGTGGCTTAGTGGGGACACTCTGTTCAAGGTTTCGTTCTACACCACTGCCAAATTAATAATCATATACTATACATTACATAGTTTAGAAATGGCCCATTCAATCTCACCTATTCCTGCATGCAGTGCAGGGAGCTCTCATAATAAAGTCCACTCTTCACACAACTCTAAAGTGGCTTTTTGCTTTTCCACACCTACCTCATCAATTAACAATACATACAGTATGATGTGGAGTGATAATGATTTATGATTCAGTCAACTCTAAGTGCTCAGTCATTGCTTATTAGGTGTTTCCCTTTCTGTCCCAGTTCTTGACCCAAGTATACACCAGGAAAAAACTGTTTAAATCCAGGCAACTTGTTTGACTGAATATGCTTCCTGTCTCTTATCCCATGGGCTAGATGTGTTCTGTATCACACCATAAAACAATAACAACACAGGAGAATTGGCCACATGTGACTTGGGTGGAATTTCTCGTCCCTTCACATTCCCTTTATAATATGTTCTGTTACAGAGTTATAAACCATAGAAGACTGACAACACCATTCCACCTGCACTCCTTGACCCATCAGAATATTTGTAATGGAACTATTACACTGTGTTGTATGTAAACGTAGTGTTCATCATCTAGTCAAAGCAGTCAAATAAGGAGTGTCAGGCAAGTATTTTGTATAATTCAACCGTTCATTTGTTTATTATTACATACTGCTTCACACAGTCACTCAATACAGAAGTGGTATAAATCAAAATCTCAAGAATTGAATAAATTGTCAATGATATACCGTACGTTTCAATGTTATGTATTTTTTACTCCCACCCACCCGACCACCCACCCATACACACATTCATTCCACACATATACACTGAGTGTACAAAACATTAAGGACACCTGCTCTTTCCATGACATAAACTGACCAGGTGAATCCAGGTGAAAGCTGTGATCCCTTATTCATGTCACTTGTTAAATCCACTTCAATCAGTGTAGATGAAGGGGAGGAGACAGGTTAAAGAAGGATTTTTAAGCCTTGAGACAATTGAGACATGGATTGTGTATGTATGCCATTCAGAGGGTGAATGGGCAAGACAAAATATTTAAGTGCCTTTGAACGGGGTATGGTAGTAGGTGCCTGGCGCACCGGTTTGTGTCAAGAACTGCAACGCTGCTGGGTTTTTCACGCTCAACAGTTTCCCATGTGTATCAAGAATGGTCCACCACCCAAAGGACATCCAGTCAACTTTACAACTCAATATTAGGAAGGCGTTCTTAATGTTTTGTACACTCAGTGTATAATCCTAAACAATCCTAAACATTGCACCTTTAAATGACCTCAGTCATTTTCCCTGATGAATAACCTGCATAGCAATCATAATATGTTGTTATTGTACAATCAAATAAAGGCAAAAGAATGAGAAAAACACAGTGATTATCTCATTCATCATTTTGATGATCGTATCAGTAGCCTGTCAGTCGTATTCTCCCTGTTACATTCTTTCCATCATGACAGCAATGGTCTGCCACTGTTTTGAACACAGACAACCAGCATAAACACATCAACTGTTCTCTCCTCTATGGTTACCTGGCCAGAGTCAGCCAGTAGCATGGACCACCCTTGTCCTTCCAGCCACTAAAATAACTATTTTGCTGCACAAATAGCCTGTGTGCATCATGCCTGATCCATCCCTCAAGGTTTGGATCTAGCGTCTATTCTCAGTCTTCAGGCCTCTGTCACATTTTGTTTTCCACCCTCTATTTCTGGGTGCAAACAGACAAATAGTCAGGCAGTCCCACCGGTCTGTGGCCTTCCTGCATGTGACACCTCTCTCTCAGCAGCCCTTTGTTCTGCTCATCTCCACTTTAGAGGAGTGTCATTTGTTCTGGTGCTCACTCTTCTCTCCTCACACCATGTTGTTTAGCGCTCATGAAGCCCATGGGCCCCGGCTTCTTCCTTCCTGGGTGGGAAGGCCCATCCCCTGGCTCTCTCAGAGGCTCTGACCATAGATCTATGGAGGAAAGAGACACTGGTCAGCAACATAATCAAAAGGTCATCTTGTGGTACAATATTAAATAATTATGTGTACAGCCTATGCTTCATTTGATAACCAGAATAGCAAACAGCTGTTCCAGGACTTAGTTTAAGCTCACCTAAAGAAAGTCAACAGGTTGGCACGAGAGCTCTTTATGGCGCTCTGCGGTGAAGAGTTATATGAGCTGCACACAAGAAGAGAGAGAGATGGGGGCAGACATTTTGAACATGACACCATAAAACGATGATCAGTGCAAGAGTTTTCCAAAAACTATGGAATAAACCATACAATGACACAGCAATTTGCCTCAGTGTTGCAAACCGTGAATTTTGGTGTGATAACAAAGATACAGTGCCTTCAGAAAGTATTCACACCCCTTGACTTTTTCCACATTTTGTTGTGTTACAACCTGAATTTATTTGTGTCACTGGCCTACACATAATACCCCATAATGTCGAAGTGAAATTATGTTTTTCTATATTTTTACAAATTAATAAAATATTGAAAATCTGAAATGTTTTGAGTCAATAAGTATTTAACCCCTTTGTTATGGCAAGCCTAAATAACTTCAGGAGTAAAAGTGTGCATAACAAGTCACATTATAAGTTGCATGGACTCACTGTGTGTGCAATAATAGTGTTTAACATGATTTTGGAATGGCTACCTCAGTCGAGCAGTGAATTTCAAACACAGATTCAACCACAAAGACCAGGGAGGTTTTCCAATGCCTCGCAAAGAAGGGAACCTATTGGTAGATGGGTGAAATAAAAATAAAAAAGCAGACATTGAATATCCCTTTGAGCATGGTAAAGTTATTAATTACACTTTGGATGGTGTATCAATACACCCAGTCACTATAAGGATACAGGCGTCCTTCCTAATTCAGTTGCTGGAGAGGATAGAAACCATGATTTCACCATGAGGCCAATGGTGACTTTAAAACAGTTACAGAATTTAATGGCTGTGATAGGAGAAAACTGATGATGAATATACAACATTGTAGTTACTCCACAATACTAACCTAATTGACAGAGGGAAAAGAAGGAAGTCGGTACAGAATAAATATTCCGAAACATGCATCCTGTTTGCAACAAGGCACTAAAGTAATACTGCCAAAAAAAATCCCAAAGCAATTAACTTTTTGTCCTGAATACAAAGTGTTATGTTTGGAGCAAATCCAATACAACACATTACTGAGTACCACTCTCCATATTTTCAAGCATAGTGGTGGCTGCATCATGTTATAGGTATGCTTGTAATCGTTAAAGGACTGGGGAGTTTTTCAGGATAAAAAATTAACGGAATGGAGCAAAGCGCAGGCAAAATCTTAAAGGAAAACCTGGTTTAGTCTGCTTTCCACCAGACACTGGAAGATTAATTCACCTTTCAGCAGGACAATAACCTAAAACACAAGGACATATCTACACTGGAGTTGGTTACTAAGAAGAAAGGGAATGTGGCCGAGTTACAGTTTAGACTTAAATCTACTTGAAAATCTATGGCAATACCTGAAAATGGTTGTCTAGCAATGATCAATAACCAATTTGACAGAGTTTGAAGAATTTTGACAAGAATACTGGCCAAATGTTGCACATTCCAGGTGTGGAAAGCTCTTAGAGACTTACCCGGAAAGACTCACAGGTGTAATCACTGCCAAAGGTGCTTCTACAAAGTATTGACTCAGGGGTGTGAATACTTATGTAAATTATATATTTCTGTATTTCATTTTCAATAAATTTGCACAATTCTCTAAAAACATGTTTTTACTTTGTCATTATGGGGTACTGTGTGTAGATGGGTGAGAAAAAAATATATTTAATCAATTTTGAATTCAGGCTGTAACACAACAAAATGTAGAATAAGTCAAGGGGTATGAATACTTTCTGAAGGCACTGTAGATACCCCTCATATCAGTGAACTCTCACAATACCTTTGATCAAAGAATCAGGTGTGTAAAGAACTGTTGCCTCTTTTTTTTTTTTTGCCAATTTGGCAATCTAAAGACAACTTTATTGTACTTTATTGTACACTAACAGTTTTACTGACATCATTGCAATGGCATAGACCAAACAATAATGTCTTTACAATATAATGTCTAAGGGCTCTATTCAATCTGTATCGCTGAAGCGTTACAGATTGCGCGCTAGAAATGTAAAGGTAATTTCTGATTGAGCCGACATATGCAGCGTTTACCATGAATGCAGTCTCTGCTAATGCGGGAACATTGCCTTTCAATTTCAATCCCGCTGTAACGCTGAACTTGAATTGACTAGAGCCCTAACTGTCCCTAAATGAAAAACGACCCATTTGTCTCCCAATGAGGAACAATGAGTGGAATGAGTCTCTGGGTGTCTCTAGGTGCCTGTATTTGTTTCTCTATCATCCTTAGGAACCATTAATCCCTAACTCAGCCTTTCAATGATACGAGACGCCTACACAGTTCACTCCCCGGTCCCTTCAGCCAATCAAAACATGCCGTGGGGACGCTAGAGCAGCCTGAGACTGCACTGCCCCCTCGGGCACTCCGTAACATGTGGTGCAAATTCATTCCACCCTGAGAGGGAACGCCTGTGTGATACACACAATAACACTCCCTCAAGCTAATAATAGCATCCCAGAGAAGTGAGCTATGCTCTCAGACCACACCTTGTGCACCTTGAAGAGCTTCAACAAGGAGTCCCTCTTGTTCTGTGTCCTCAAATGGCTGACTAATAAAACTAGGACATTCCACAGTGACTGAGTATCTGTCTGTCTGAGGTGGTGGTGTGTGTGATGTTGTCTTGGCTATTGTTGTGACCCCTACTCACCTGTCCTGGCACATGATGGTGCAAGTGTGGTCGTCAGAGTCGGCACACACACAGCGACCGGCGGACCTACGGCGACGCGACAGAGGGCTGCCCAAGCCGTAAACAGTAGTCTTACTGCAGAAAGGGAAAGAGAGAAAGGGAATGTCAGTTTTATCAGTCACCCCCAAGATATAACCACAATGTTTATAGACTTTGTTCCTTGGCATTAATAAAATGCAGTGTTGCCAGACAGGGATGATTGCCAGAATAATGTCATATTGATACTAATGATACACAGCTAAAATAAAAAACGGTGCAAATATTTATGTTGATCGATTATGTTGATATCATCACACTGTGACATAATTGACCCACATAAGTGAATTGCTCAAGTTTATGTCTGCAAAGCTGAGGTATTTGTTTGACGTCCTTGATGGTGTGTAGTGTAAGTGCATGTGTTTCTCTCTGTGAATACATATATTTCTGTGAGGTGTGTGTGCCCACCTTGGTGTGTTGACCCAGATGATGTCGAGATGGCAGAAGTAGTGGCATTCAGAGTCCAGCTGGTTGTTGCAGGCACAGCGTTTGGTCCGCACTCTGTGAGGTGGAGCCAGATCACTGGATTTAGGCCTCTCTGACAGTGGAAGTCCCAATCCTACATGACAGACAGAAGGATATAGCTTAGAAAACAATCCTGGTGCATCAAAACCGTACAATCCACCAGCGTAAAAGGACACTAGACAAGTGTATTATTACCGGTACCCCGCTATTTGCCTTGATCTATCACACCAGTCTATTCAAACCTTTCCGTGGAAAGCTAGTAATCATCTTTAATCGCTGTTATCTGCCTGTTCAAACATTCTGAAGGGAGTGCCAATAGTGCAAGCAGACATTTAGAGAAGACTCCACCTCTTTATTGACTGTGTTAAGTAAGTAAGTGGGTCCCTCGATAGGAGGGGAATGTGTGCTAGTGTTTCAGTGGAGTCATAACATCTCATTTGTCCCGTTACAGAGATGACCAGAGTTTGGAGAAACACAGCCTCTGGTATTTTCTGACTGTACAATGAAAAGTCTGTACAACCAGGTAGCAAACATTGTCATGCTCTCACAAGTTCAAGTTTAAGGTGCTTTTGACAACCAAGATCACTCAAATACAAGATAATCTATTTGCTGAGTGAGATGAAGAGGTTCTCCAGAGAATTAACATTTGAGAATGTGTACCCCTGAGCTAGTCAGCAAGGTTGAAGTGAGATGTAATACTGGTCTTAATGTGTTAACGATAAATCTTCATTGATGATGTGACAATTGGAACAGGGCTTGCTGAAACGTGTGTCTCTGAAACGTGTGTCTTTGTTGGTTTGTATATCTTGTCACTGAATATAATGAGTGTGTGCATGAGTAAGTGTTTACATTGCTCTGAACAATGAAAACAATGCTGCACCATGTCACTATTTTATAGGGAGATTAATTAGTTTCAATGAAAAGTTAGCCAGTGTTTTGTTGATGCAAGACAGTAGCGCAGAACCTCAATACAATTTCATAATTTTTTATATAGTGCGTCATTCCCAATAGATATTTTGAATTCAGTTATGCATTCAGAAAATGATCAGTGGAAGACACTTGACCATTATTATGTTCAATGCTTCAATGACATTATTAAGTTAATTTTTTGCTTGTGGAAGAAATAACAAATCCTTAGATAATTTATTATAGTAATAGCGCTGTAGTACTCACCTTCCTGCATGGACACACACACAGTGATGAGAAGGAGCAGGCTGGCGTGTGCTGACATGGTTGCTGTTGGTCTATTTGTAGAGCTCACGGGGAAGTATAATATCCTTAAATGCGCTTTGGCAAATTATCCCAACTGTCTTCTGCTTTGCTGCTTGCTTGTTTGTCTGCAGGTGTCTGAACGGTGGCACTCAACTTATAGTCTTCTTCCCCCATGATGTCACAGTGGAAGCCCTGCCCCTTGCTGCTACAATGTTACACAACTCCTCCAGAGGGTTTGAGCCGCTGCTGAAAATTCCAGGAATCTATGTTCAGTGCTTCATACCCTCCACAACTCCCAAACCCTCCAGCCTGCAGGTCACCAGGCAGACAACAGTTCACTTATCACCTGTAGCATGTTGCATTCACTTTTCACATGCAATTTGGTTGTGTGACATATCCTTTTGCTGTCAGATTTTGAGTGATGTTTGACATATGGCGAGAGCCTGGAGGGGGGAGGGTAGGAAGGAAGGAGAGGGAAGGAGGGAGTGGAAGGCCATGAGGAAAAGGAGAGAGATGGCTCCTGATTGCCTGCTTTGCATGGAGTCTGCAGGGGAAGGCCAGGGTGCCGTGGAAACAATGATCAGGGGGAACGTTATCCAATACAGGGGGGTGTCAGATGGTGGTGGCATGTGGTGGTGGAGCAGATGTGCATGCCCTATTCTGTTCCTCTCCATACAGTACATTGGGTGACAATTGACAGATCACATTAATTCCCCATGGGGTGTTGACCAAACAATATTTTACTTTTTTAAAAGTGTGGAATTCCACCTTCCTTACGATATTTATTTTCTCAAGCCTTATTTATAGTCTAGACAGTGCAGAAGATTGCCGTTGTAACATGTACTGTTTGAATACTGCTGGAAGTGTTACCACTAGGCCACGTGGGCGCCTCAGAATAAGATTTTCATTCACACGCAGTTGTGGGTCTACATTAAATGATTCAGGCAAGATGTGTTTTGAGAACATGATGAGTTATTTTGAGGTCTGAGAGTATTATGTTAATCTGATTAGTCATTGAAGAAGATAAATGGGTTACAATGGAAATTGAAGACCACAATGGAAATAAGCCTCCGGGCTTTGTGTTTTAAGCCTCGATAATTTTTTATGTGTTGAATGTTGTCTCCAGCTGGAGCAGCCTACTACATTTAATTATCCAATCAATTCAATCAATCAATCGAAAGGATGTGGTAGTGATGAACACTTAATCTAATAATGGTTATTGGGTTGAAGAGAGTTAAAGACAATAGATGTGATGCTAAGGCCAAGTTACAATACTCACAGTAAATCATGAGCCAACCCTTATGACACACTACCTCAAAGTTAGCAACGTACAATACAAAACATCTTATGCAATACAGAAGCAGTATTTTGAAAATTAAGGCTACAGACCAACAGCAATATCTCTACTACCATTGCCAGCTATTACGTTATCATTGTTTTGACAACTGCACTGTCAAAGAAGTAGCTATACTGTTTCCGGAATTACATTTGACCAAAATATTCTTGGTGCATTTCCGAGAAAAAAAAATACCTTTGTCTCTTGTTCCGTGATGGCTGGCACTAGCCCAGCCACAGATAAAACAACAACTCTCTTCCTTGCCTGAGGGTACTGATGCCCCCAGTGCATTGTGCCACCCACACAGTGCCCGGTGAGTGACTGGCCCAGGAGCCAAGGGGGGAACCTTACCACTGCCATGCAGATAGCCAAATGGCAGCACTCACTCATGCAAATGAACTGGGGCGTTAATCTCCCCACACACTCAGATTAGCCAGGTTAATCAAGAGGGATTTTATCGCTAACTCCATAAAGCCACCGATGGCCGATGAGTGGATGGTCAATTATCTGATAGGGAAATAAGGCAAATGTGTATAGAAATGCTGCGTGGATAAAGCTGTCAGTCATCAGCATCAGCGTGGGCTGTGATGAGCTCTGTCAGACTTAGATGCTGGGGACCACGTGCCTCGACAACACACACACACACACATCTAGAGTATGATGAAAGAGAAAAAGAGTTGTGTGTTTTTTTGTCCAGGCATATGTGTAAATCTGAATCAATTTTACTTGTGTAATTTTTGACCATAGGAGTCTCTGAGCTCTTCTGAACATTTCTGATTATATATGATTATAATATACATATACTATACTGTGGTTCTTGTAGATGTGAATAAATGTATGTTATCTTTTTCAAATGGTCTATTCTTCACCAGTACTGCATCTAGAATGCAGTCTGTTGACAAATATAACATAACATAACACACATACACACACACACACACACATTCAGAGGAGCACATGGTCAGCCACAGTATAGCACAGAGATTCGAACCCGCAACTCTCCGCTTCTCTAACCTCTAGGCTACATACTGCCCTACCTATTTGTGCAAATATTCCTAGATTTGTTCCCTAAGTCAAAGTGATGGCAACTCTCTGTGAGTACTACATGTACTTTGTTTTGGGGAAATTGTGTGTGTGCCTGTAGGAAATGACTTCAGTGAGACTTGACACCTTAAGATGGAATCTAACAGAGTACACAGTTCATTAAACTGGTACTTTTCCTACCCAAGGATGCTTGGCATCTTTTGCATTAAACAAATTGTCCATAAAGACAGGTATTACACCACAACAGACAACATTTCCAGGATAAACTAAACACACATAAATCAAGTATGACATTAACATTAATGAGACAAACAATGTTTGGTACTATTCCAATTGTAGAATTTACAATCATGGGAGAATCATGGGGGGAATTATGGGATCCAAAGGCTAGACTGTTTGGGAATGAGAGATTAATGGATTTATCTATCAGGATCTCATAGTATTACCTGTCAGAGCTAATCCGCCATATCTACCAGAGGAAACAAGAAAAAACACTTCCTCCTCTATTTCCCCCGCCAGCAGATAAGTGGAATGTGTGACATGGTGATGAAATTCCCATACTGCTGCACTATAGCCCAGATTCCTCCACACATTCCTGGATCAGACAGACAGTGGCGTCATGCCCATAGGGGGCACCAAGTCACATGCCCCCTAAGATTTGTCCAGTTTTAAACATTTTCAGATTTTACATATTTTACTAAACTTGTATTTTCTTAGTCAAAACAAACTGAAACAGGATGGTCATAATGCTTCTTGACAGTCATAATGCTTCTTGATGAATAAATAAAACAAAATGTGTTTGTTGTTTCTCTGTATTATAGCCACTTAGCAATTTTAGGAAGTTGGCTTTAGCTAGCCAGCTAGATAGGTTTCCAATCTCCCAACCTCATAACTAGCTACCAAGCCATTTCAGGCTATCAATCAAGTTAGAGTAGCTTGTCTAACTATCTTAGCTGGCATGCCTGCTGGCAAGGTTGCTAGACTTTAAAAAGCAAGCAATTACTAAATATATTGAATAAGACTCACATTCCTTTCAGTCTTTTATCCAGATTTTAGCAGAGAAACATATTTAATGTATTTAAAAAAACTAAATACCAGTCAGGAGGATACAGACAACTCAAGAGGTATGCTTAGATAACCTATGCAGAAAGAAGACACTTTGTATATAGAATTCGGGAATAATGATTATGGCTCTAGATTGCAGGAAAAAGCTGTTTCAGGTGTTTGAAAAATGCTAAATATTTATCCATCCTAATGGACTTTGTGCCCCCTCTAAAATAATGGGCGCATGACGCCCCTGCAGAGAAGTACATGATATCCCTAGTAGTTGATATTGACTGCTAACATGAATGACTTTCAGCTCATGAATTACTTTCAATAAACACAGTTTGAAAATGAATCACTACATTTGTGCAGTGAATGTGCGCGCGTGCGTGTGTGCGGTTGCAAGCTTTGAACCACTCCTTCTTGGGGTCGCGGGTCAAAAACTTGGAGAACCACTGGCATCACTGGCACCACAGGCCTCCATGAGAAGGATAACAGGGTCATTCCCTGTTCAACTTCATGAAGTAGTGCATGAAGAGGATGTGGTAGCGGTTTTATAAGCACTGATAGGCTTAGCAGGTGATTTGAACCAATAACACAGTCCCAATCTCAGTACTGCCATACCAGCTCACTACACAGAGGCATTGTCTGGGGTAAAGGGATTACATAACTTCACCAGTCAGTGGTGTCTCTTTTGGCTCTGGTTTGAGACACAGTCACGCTCCCAATAAACCCTGCTCCTATTTTCTAACCATAATCTGTGGATGTGGCCTATTTATGATTAGAGGTAAGACATGTTAATATTTGAATCTGAATTATTAATATTAATATTCTGCTCCCCTACTTCTTAATACATTTTAACAGTTAATTTACTAATAACCTCTGGAGTGACTGCTTGTTCTCTGATAGAGCAGTACCACTAGATGTCACTACTGATTCACATAGAGTTAAGGTATGTCTGCGCTTCACATTTCTAGCTGCCTTGTTTGCAGTTTGTACAGCAGTAAGGTTCTGTCTGAGCTGGGCTGTTTTATTTCGAGAAGAGACACCTCATGGTTTATATCTGTGCAGAAGCACAGTAGAGCATAGCTCACTAGGGCTCCTCATCTGCCTTGTCAAAAGGAGATTATGCTTGTCATCCCAGAGCCATAAAGAGCCTTCAAGATTTAAGTAACAGAATAATAAATCTCAGTATCTCTGTTAGTTTATGGGTAAAGCGCAGTGTACTAGAGCTGGGTGCCATCTCCAGTTGTGTTTTATTATGTCAACACATTCATACTGCATCATACATTTCTATCACTCTAAAAATTAACACTTCCATCACTGTAGCTAATATCTGATATGACAATCATTTAAAAATACATTTCTAAATGCAGTGATTGCACTCATTTGTAAACCATTTATCATTACATGTTATTTGCAGGAATATAAAACCATATTTATATAAAACTATATTCACATAAAACCGTGCCTTGCCCACCCAACCCCTGTTGTCCCCAACTGTATCCATCCACTCTTGATGATGGTCGTTCACAAATCGACATAGAGAGACTTCAGTAGGATTATCTACGCTTCAAACAGAGTGTGGGCAGACAGAGCACATCAAAGGGCAAAAAGGGTAATACTTTAGTGACTTGCACACAAAACATCTGGAGACACCCTATTTTGAAGGTTTCATGTCCCAAATAGAAG